AACAACTAAGCACTAGAATAACCAAAACCTAGTGGTTTGAACTTACCCAGATGTACCTTCTAAGAAAGCACCGGGGATCTGCGTCCAAAAGGTCAAAGTCTTAAAAACTCTGCAGCACTGATTTACTCTCTAAGACACAGTCTCTGAAAAGGACCAACAACTACAAAACCATAAAGATCAATAATTAAAGGCTAGGCCCAGGAAAATGAAAAAGAAAATCTGCAGCACAGGTTTGAGACTGGCCTTCATTAGGCACTAGGCTCTTTTTCTCTAAAACATGAAAGATGAGTCGTTAAAACCAGTAAATAGAAAGTGACCATGGCACACTCAATTTTCTCTGCCTTAGAAGGAAGGGCCACAGACTGAGAAAGGAAAACAGATGGCCTGAGGAAAGTGATGAGGTTTGGATTAGCCACAGTGAAAACAAGGCGCAAGGTCACGCTAGTAACAAACAAAAGGCTTACATTGTAGGGTCTAACAAAGTTGGAAGCAAGACACAATAATAACTCAATTCGGAAGGGGTGTATAAACTTCAAGTGGAATTAAGCAACCCACAAACGATGTATCGTAGACTTAATTCAATGTCAAGTGCTTGCAGAATGGGGAAGAGTGATTTGAAGAAACAAAATGTGAAAAGGGCTGATTTTTAGGAGAAAGAGAATACAGTCAAGAGAATAATATGAAAAAGCTAGAGTTATGGAGGTATGGAAAAGAAAAATCAAGAAAAATAAAGGTGTGAAAAATCTCATCAATGGATGAGTGAGCTACTGAAGTTTAAAAGTTTGGAAAGAGAAGCTTGATCAAGCTTCAAGGTGGAGTCATGGGAGAAAGGTGCTGAAATGTGATAAAGTCGTCAGCACAGAAGCCAAGAAACTGCACTGAGAGCATCAAACAAATCATCCCCCATGATGACAACAGGAGTTGAGGTAGACAGAAAGATTGCAAGCAAGATATCAAGTTAGGTTCTCTGGACTTTACCACTTGTGAATAGTATTAAAACCAAAAAATGTTAAAAGTTCAATACAATATGAACAGACATCCTCTACGAGTATATGAACTAATAATGGTGAACTAATCTGATTTTTAATCTTCATTAATAATTTCATAAACCATAGATTTCTTTTAAATAAAATTAGATCATTTTTAAATTGTATAAAATGTCTACTGGAGTAAAAATTTTAATTGCCATTGGTAATTCATGGCAAAATAATTAAATACAGATTCTTTTAAAGAATCTCATCATATTTTGAAAATGGAATCTAATGAATCACAATTTTTCATCTTGCCTATTTTTAGAACTATATTATATATTTAAAGAGGTTAATGTGATTATGTCTTGACCAATTCAATCTAGGTAGATAAAAAAATAATTTAAAGTAAAAAAAAATCATCTTTGGAAAACTAAATGGGGGTTTTCAGTATTAGTTATAGGACACCTGCAGTTTAGGCTGACTTAGAATAATACACATAGCTTTTAAGTAATTAAAGAATCAGTCCGTCGATGAGCTAAGAATATATGATGATAGCGCAGACTATTAAAAGAGGGTTAACTATGCTGCATGTCTTCATGTAGTATTGCATTTTCAAAGTCAGTGGCAACATGTTTTCTTTTCTAGAACTTTCCCATTTTATGGGTCTTTTTTGTCTGTTTGAAAAGTAAGAGATGAGCTTAAGAGTTATGACAATGCTGAAAGAAATTTAAAATTTGTTTTGCATTTGTTGTATTCCATTCTTGTTCTTTCAGAGGTCCTTCACACACATATACATACTTTTTCAAAATATTTTCCCCTACTTCTCGGAAGTCCAAGGGTTCTTTGTGTGTAAAACAGCTTGCTCCAGAAGAATCAGTATCTACTTCATGCTTTTCTGGCTGTCGATTTGCACAATACTTCAATCCCCAGTAACACATTTCTCCAGTGTACATCATAGCCAGCAAATGAATGTCACTAAAAATTCCTGGGGAAATCAATTAGGTTGAAAGATTAGAATCTGAAACTTATAAAGAAAACAAACCTATGTTTAGAAATGATTTTTTTCAACATCATTCAGTATTTTCTCATAGCCCTGTTTAATCTCTATTTTATCTATAAAAGTAAAATGTCAATCCCCAACCCGCCCCCCCCCAAAAAAACCAGTCAGATTTTAAAAAAAGAAGTATTTAGAGCAGTGTATCCCTAACTTTTTTAGAGTCTGTACGCCTCTTTGAGAATCTAATGTAGAAAAATTCAACTCTAAATTCTGTACACATCTCCAGAGTGATCTCTAACTCCCTATACCCTCTCTATAAGTGAACTTTGATTTGGAATATATGAAATTAATGCAAAAGATACTGTTAAGTTGCCTGATCTCCTTAATGTCTATGGAAACTAAGGTACACC